AAAAAGAAATCTTGAAAATGCATATATCTACGCCTTGAAGAACAAGTTATTGCCTTGCAAAATATTCAATTTTACTTTGATTTTACTTTTTATGCAAAATGGCTGTAAAAGGGGGTGTTTACACAATGATTTTAAGTGTACAAAATGTACTACTTGCATGCCTGTTAGGAGGAGTGTGGTGGGACAAGCCCACCCTATCTGTACAGGGTGTTTATAGCATCAGTCACTATAGCAAGTAGGAGCCACCACAATATACAACTGCTATTATCATTATTAATATAAATTTGAATAGTTGTAGAACATATAACATTTTATCTTTATTAATCCTAAAAAGTAAGCAAAAAGTAAGCATAGTAATTAAATATATTAATGCTATGTAGGTTGCATTTCTCATCCATATTTTTCTTTTCTGATAGCATGCACTACTTTTTTTTTTGAGCCAAGCCACCCCCCCCCCAAAAAAAAAAAAATAATAATAATAATAATAATAAATAAAATAATGGTAATAAAAATGCAAGAAAAATTTCAAGTTTTCATTTGTACTTTTAGGTGCGTGGTGGGAATTAGCACCCCTGCTCATGAACTTTCTGAATACAAGGTAGTGAAGGTTGTCATAATGCAATACAACTGTTGAAGGCTTATAAATGACTCTCCTTGGAAGGAAGGCAAATGATAACACTTGTGGGGAGCAATTATGTGAGACTATGAGAGGGTAACCAGTCACCTTTTCAACAATGCTCATGATGGTGTAAACAATTGAGCAGCTCTTCTTCATAAATCTGAGGGAGACTACAAACATGGTAATAGCCTAAAAATAATAGCCTAAAAAAGTCAACTGTCACAGTTAATTTGCAAATGTCAGTTATTCATTTAAATTAGCTACCTAAGAGTCCCTAATTTTATTGGTGTAATGATACTTTTTTTTAGCTTTATTTTGTTTCTATTTTATTTTTTTCTTCCATATGTTAACATTATTTCTTTTCTTTTTACATACTGCAGGTAGTACAGAGCCTCCCTTCTACTAGGCATGCCCTTGTCTGCACCTCCAACATTGGCAAAAACCCTGCTGCTTGCTGCCAGTGTCCTCATAAGCACCTAATCAGTAGCACCTGCCTAAAAGATAGTACAGGAATGGTGGTGGTGAGAAGTAATGAGAAGAAGAGGAAGATGCCAACCCTAGTAAGAGAGACATATTCCAAAGAAGTGTTTGTTGTTGCTGGATTTTTTGCAGCTTGTACGTGTTTTACTGTACCAGTTAGCATCGGCACCTGGCTAGTATACCACCTTCACATTGTCACTGTTGATCCCAATAGCAGGTTTGTCACTTTAGTCCCAACCACTTTCATACTCAAATACATTGGTTCCAGTTGTGGTTAAGAGGACTAGAAAAAGCAATAAGTGCAAAAAAAAAAATGTGCAAAACTATGCAATATTTACATGGGTGGTAAATCGACTTGTAATAGTTACTATGGGCATAGCTACTGCCTCATAATGCAGAGGGCCTTACATCCTTAGCCTGGAAGGAATGAATGAGGGTTTTCTTACAACAATAACAACAAGACAAAAAACAATAACAGTGAGGATAGCATAAATAAGAATTGTGTTAGCCTGCAATGACTGTCATTTAAGAAAGTCAGCTGGGCTGTGACGAACGAATGAAGGTACTCTTAGAAGTACTACAGTGACAAAAACAGCGATAACTGTGAGGTTAGGATAATAAGTAAAGATTGTGGCCTTTTAAAATAATTGCTATTTTTTTATTTACTTGTATAAAACCAGGTGGACTAGTATATTATTTTATACAAAGTTGAATGGTCATTATTTTTTTTTAGTACAATGCAACTAAAACAGCATAGTAGCTATGCAATGGTTTATTTTAGGATAGCTGGCCTATCTATTCTTCAAGAACAGCTGGCCTATCTCACTTATTACTCAAGGATAACTGCACTATCACCTACTTATTTAATCCAACTATAATGTAAAGCGACTGTACAATGATTCATTCAGGAATAGGTAATTGAAATGTAAAAGTAACTGTGTAATGAATTATTCTAAAATAGTTGCACTGTTATTTATTTATTTATATGAAAAGATAGTTAAATTATTATTTACTTATGAAATAGGCTAAAAAATATGGCAATCATTTATGCAATTATAATGCAGTGTAAAACAAAGTTGGATTTCGGTACAAGTAAATTGAAATTAAAAAAAAAATTTTTTCCTATCTATTTCCATAATCTTTGGGGGAGGTGGGGGTATTTTATATTTTTCTCGACATATGTAATCAACCGATTTTATGCTGGGCAACTGCCAAAAAGATATGAGGGGCAAATATATTTGGAAATAATGTTAAGCTCTTATTCTGCACGAGATTATTTGTATGTTCGGTGCCGATGCCGCCGATTCTCTATTAATCCCCTCGCTTTTCGGCACGTTGTGTTAGCCTGCAACGGACCCCACGCCTATAAGGAGCGATGTTCGGCATCGCGTTCGAGGCCTGTCGTTCCGGACCTCCCTTCAAATAATCCTGGATCCGCCCCTGAAACCCATCAATTTAGGATATTTATCTTTTATAAGAATATAAATATGTAACGGCTAAAATATTTGTTTTCAAAGTATTTTCTATTGAGGGTAAGGGGGTGGAAGTAGGGGAATGATCAGACCTTCAATTACCCATTTTTTTACAATCCTTCGTTACTTGCCATAAATTGACATCACTAAATAGGCTTCATCGTTAAGTAGCAAAATCACCTATTCTACGCACATTGCACCGTTGAAATCGAAAAGTAATTAACGGTACATGTTTCATCAACTGATATTTCTTTAAGTCCAATATTTAATTTCTCAGATCATTGGCCTTACCTCCATTTTCAGAGGGGGTACCACCTGTATCTCTCTGCCGTCTGTCCATGGTCTGGCCACCATATCCCACGATGTCCCCGCTTTGTTTTCTTGCTGCATATATAGCGGGTATTGAACAGGTAGTCTAAGTATCGCTTACATTAAATCCCATGTGGTAAAAATGAAAACTCCACGCCAGTCAGAAAAATATGCTTCGTATAAG